CTCGTTCCGGAGTATCTTGGTGCTATCCAGCATCACCGAGAGGCAGCCTGATCTTAAGTGTTTTCCCTCCCTAGATGAAAGTCATTTCTGTGTCACATTCACTAATAAAATCCCAAAGGAAAAGGCCTTAGGGAAATGGAGGAGGAAAGAATTAAAATCGCGGAGTTGTGTTTAGTAGTTTCCCAGGTTAATGAATTGGGGCTGGGGACTGCCCCCGTGTTGGTTTTCAGATGCTTGTGCGCTGGTTTGGCTGTTGTTTCCAAAAGGAAATTGTGTGTTCCATCCCTTCCTGTTAGGCTGCCTCCTTTTAGGGTAGCAAAGTTTAGCAGTTTCTCGCCTCCCTCCCGCTGTTGAGACTCGTTTTCTGTGGGTTCATAACCTTATTTTAATTTTCCAAGTTATCAAGGACTTTACAAATTATAACTGGTCCTGGATGGCCACGCCCTCATTGTCTAATATGCATTTTCATTTAGGTGCTTGGCAAGAACTGAAGCAGGGTGACCTATATAAAAACCTTGAACAAGAGCCATGCAATTCGTGATAAAGAACTGGCTGGTTTTTATTTTTTGTAACTGGAGAATTATATCAATTTTTGCAACCACAGTCAATTTGAACCAAGTTGTTTTTGTACCTTCTTAGGCTGGGTTTCCCCACTGTTCTGATGTAGAAAAGGAGAACCAGGCTCCATGTCCCCAGTCTGGGACACCATGAGTGGTTATGTGACTTAACATTAAGTGATATGGAGACTGGGGTTTTGTGGTAGTTCTATTTTTGTTAGGTGTGTGTGTATATATATATATATATATATATACAGTGAAGCCATGGTTTAAGGTAGTGATACAGAATTTTATTCTAAAATACATTTAAAATTTTTAAAAGTTGGGTTAGATGATTAAGTATAGCCAGAATAATTGTACTATACAAATAGGACAAACAAATATGAAGTCTGAAAGTTAGATGCTGATGTTTCAGAGCCACTTGGTCTAGAAAGTATAGCTCTAACATTTAAAATTCTGAGGGATTTTGTTTCCTTATATCACAAGAGATCGTTTACTGCTTGCTGGTAGATCTCTGACAAAACTTCTGGGATTAGCATCTTAACACCATGAAAAGTTGTATTTTTTATTGCTGAAAGACTTTTAAAATATCGTAATTTAATGAAAGGGGGAGGCGGGAAACAATTTCAGTTCTCAGTGTTGATCTGTTTAAACAGAAAACCCAGTAACTGAGAATACAGAATTCTGTCCAGTGTAAATGTTTCATTTACTTATGATTTAAGCAGCTCCGGCCGGTTAGCTGCATGAGAGGTTGGCTTTTCAGTGTACTTTTATGTTCTGTTTCGGATACTTTCCAAGCTAAGGGATTCTTGGAATACAAAATGGTTCTATAGATGTAATGTTGAGAGACACAAAATGTACAGGTGGAAAACTAGTGAGGCTGGAATGTAGAAGATGGAGTGTAGAGAACAGTAATTTGCATCCCTTTATTATTATAACCCTTCAAAATATAACATTGCAAAGCTGTAATACTGCCTGATCTCTTCTCAGGGTTGTTTTCTGAGTATAAGCTTTCGTTATGCCTCAGATACAGGTACGTGCAGAGTATTTCCCCTAGGGTGTCCCCCAGACTGGCAGTAGATGCGCTGCGGGGCCCCAGGCTGGTTGTGGCTGTGCACACATCCAGGGTGCCCTTGTTTTCTCTGGATTTTCTTGTGTACTCTCTGCGGTGGGCATGCATTGCTAGTTTAAATTAACTACAGAAGGAAAATAACTGAATCAAAATGTAGCCAATATTTGTTACTCCATAATATAAAAGTAAACAGTATTCTTTTAAACATAGTTTTCATCTGTCGCATTTTTCTAAATTCAAAGCAGAAATTATGACAGTTTGTCTTTTACCCAATGTTGTTACTTAGTAAGTGTCTGTAAAGCCCTATCTGTGCCACTGAAGTTACTTTTTTTTTATTTTACTGGTTTCTTAATGTATGACTATTCATATTTGATGACATTTATTTTTTTTTAAAAGATTTATTTGTGCATACAGAACCAGGGTACAGGCCAGAGGCTCAGGGGCGGCGAGAGGCTCCACCAGAGAGTGTTCTGCCAGCAGAACAGGCAGATCTACGAAGTCCACTGCTGAGGGGAGCAGTGGGCGGGTCAGGAGAGGTCTGCCGTGCCATGGTGCCATGTGGTCGCCTCCGGGGCAGGCAGGGATCCACCTCATGCAACTCATGCGGAAGTGGCTTTAGCTTCTTAGTGCAGTGCTTTAACCTGCTGCGCCACCAGGGAGGGCCAGATGACATTTATTTTTTTAAAGATTTATTTATTTACGCATACTGAACTGGGGTACAGGGGTGGTGAGAGGGTTCACCAGAGACAGAGCCAGGAGCAGAACCGGCAGATCAACGAAGTACACTGCTGAGGGGAGCAGCGGGTGGGCCAGGAAAGCTCTGCCTGCCATGTGGATCTCCTCCAGGGCAGGCAGGGATCGAACTCTTATGGAAGTAGCTGTAACTTCTTAGTGCTGCGCGTTAACCTGCTGTGCCACCTGGGAGGGCCCTGCTGACTTTTATTATTTGGAGGATTTCCAACAGTGAATCCCTTAGGTTGATATCATCCAGTTTCTCAATTAACTCCAGTTTTTCTCTACCAGGGACATAAGCGGCTCTAAATCCACCAAATACACATTGAAGCACGAAAGGATTTATTATGAAGCACAGAAGCAGATAGTGCCAAGTTGTAAGCAGTACTTGGACATATTTGTGAGTAAAACATTCTCTTTTTGCCTGTATGTTATTAATCTTTTAAACCATCTGCATGCCAAATAATTAAAATCTACACATTTGGGTAAAGAATAGAAGGAGTAAGTTAACTGTCGTAATTAACCAGTCGCCAGGGTTGGGGGGTGGCAACCCGAGCATCTCCGTGATGGGGTTGAGGTGTATGGTGTCTCCCACATGTGGCCAAACCAGCTGTGACTTAATGTGCTGTGATTAATTTGTCACTGACCGTGACTTATATGTAATAACTTTTGCCAAAAATTTAATGTGATTTGATTTTTGAAGTTAATTCCTTTTAAAGAACCCATTGCATATACATCAGATTTTGGACCACCTCAAACATTTACTTCTGTCCTTTGTATTATTCTCTTAGTAGTTTCTTTCCTTTTGTGTAGTCTTAACAATATTTCCCTTCAGAATGAGGGGAGAGGAGTTTCATGGCAAAATATTTTGTGATTTTTTTAAGGTTTTATTTATTTAGGCAAAATATTTTGATCCTACTCCACATTAAAGTTGTATTTTTTATTGCTGAAAGACTTTTAAAATATCGTAATTTAATGAAAGGGGGAGGCGGGAAACAATTTCACTTCTCAGTGTTGATCTG